TACAGGGGGAGATTGTACCTCCTTCTCCAGCACAGCATCTGGTGGATTCAAACTGTGCACCTCTGGGATTTCAGTGCAACTTCTTGCCACTAGGCCATCAAAGCTCCCTAGTAAAAAATCTCTTTAAAAAAAAAAAAGTATGGGCCAGAGTCAAAGGAACCACAACTGAATCTAGACCCTGCAACTTACTTACTCTGACTTGGCTCACTTTTTTTTACCCCCCTCTGAGCCTCTACTTTCTCATCTGTATAATGGAGGAATTAGAGCCCCCTTACCGAGTTGGAATAAGTTCCATGATGTAAAGCAGTTAGCTCTTACCTGGTGTGTAGAAAGTGCTTACCATTCAGCGAGCGGCTACTTGACCTTGCTGCATCCTCTTGCTGGTGGCCCCCCTCTGATGCTGACCTTTGTCTTAGGTGACAGGAACACCCACGAGAGGCTTTGATGAGAAGGCATACCTGGCAGCCAAGCAGCTGAAGGCTGGAGAGGACCCTTACAGGCAGCATGCCTTCAACCAACTGGAGAGCGACAAGCTCAGCCCAGACCGGCCCATCCGGGACACCCGCCATTACAGGTACGGCTCCATGTGCTGAGGGAGGAAGGGCGGTGGGGAGAAGAGTCATCGTCATTTAGCTTGTTGTCATTCGATCACATGTGCTTAAGAAATGAGAAAGAATCCAGTCAAGACACTTGAACCCTCACCTTCAGTTATTTTCCCTGACTCTTCTTTTCTGAGGGTCTCGTCAGGTGGCAAGCAAACCTGACAAGGCTAAGGAAACCCTCCAGCACCTCATTCTGACCACATTGACCCATCAAAAGGCTGTAGGGGTCTGAGGGCTGTGAGCCGGGTGGTCCCAGTGCCCTGCGCGTGGTGCCTGAGATGAAGTTGAAGATGAAGATGAAGAGCGCCCCCTCAACCTGCCAGGAGAGTAGGGGGGTGCTGTGTGCCACCACCCCTCTTGACATCCTCGTCCTTTCTCTCATCCCACCCTCCTGTCCCACCTACTCACTACCCCCCAAAAATGCTGTCTAGTCCCAGTCTTGACCTTAACACTCCCGCTGTAGTGAGATGGGGCCAGGATGAAGAAAGTGTTCCCACTTGGGGCAAGTCATGAATCCCTCCTCCCCAGCGAGATTTCTGGGTTCAAGATCTTGTCCTTCTCTCTGATCTAGCTTGTGAGTCATCACCTCCAGTCTTTCTTCTTTCTGCCCATCAACTGTGGGAACAGTGTGAGCTCCTTATTCTGAAGTACAGGCCACCCCTTCCTGTGATCTGATCTGTCTGCTTTCCTAGGGCTCTCCTCGTCTGCCCTTAGGCCCCAGCGAGCTTTCACTCCTCTCTTCTCATGTCCTTGTTCTCACACATGCTGCTCCGTTAGTCACTTCCACCAGTCCCACCGACTTCCACCCTTTGAGACTTGCCTGAGTGTCCTGTCCTCTGGCGAAGGTTCTCTGTTGTCTGAGCTAAGCTTGGGTCCTTCTCTGTGCAGGAGGCTTGGGGCATTTGCTCTGTGCAAAGATCTGGCAGAACAGGGAGGGTGTGGTGGAACTGACTCACCCATGCTCCTGCAGTTCTGAGTGCCCACCCTCCAGATCCCCTGCTGGGTGATGCCCAGTTAGGGTTGATCTCTTTCAGGGAGAGAATGAGCATCACCATCTAAGACCCCTCCTTCCTGGGCACCAGGTGGTTAGGAAACAAGGACAGAGTCTTGGAGGCCTTGGGCCAAAGGGCTGGGAGGCTGGGCACCCAGGAGAGGAGTCTTGTTCTCAATCCCCAAGACGAGGACAAAAATACAAGGATCAAGACCCCCTACCCTCTGTTTCTCCCAATTCAGCCAGCCATGGCCTCTCCCACTCCTTATTCCAAATGCCTTTGCAAGAATAGGCATTGGAAAGTATGGTTTTTCAGGAAGCAGGAGGTGAAATTTCCCCATCCTCCGCCACTCTTATCTCCTGGGGAGAGTTATTTTAAAGCCTCTCAGCATTTCTCCCACGAGGGGCCCAGACTGGTGGGACTCCTGCCCGTCTGACCCTGTCTGCTCCGTGGGGCAGGAAATGGGCTTGGGAATGCTGGCTTTATGCTGCTGTCAGTGGTATAAACACTGTAATGAAAAAATAGTCACTGTTGGAAGAGCCAGAGAGCAATTGTAATAAAGAGGATTGCCATGAAACCAGTGCGCAGCTGCCTTCCCGTGGGCCCCAGGAGTGCAGATAAATGCATTTGCAGAAGCGACAGGGATGACGGCAGGCAGGAATGGATTGCTTTAATTCCCTTTCCTGAGGAGTGGGAGCCAGTGGGCCAAAAATGTGGTGTGTGTAGATGGTGGAGCCCAGAGCCAACAGGGGAGGGAGCAGGGTGGCAGGACGTGGCTTTGGTGGCCTCCAGCAGCACTTAAGTTTCCTTCAGGAGACCGAAGACCCCAGGGAAGAGTGAGGCTGGAGCCCTGCCTGGAATGTGCTAGTGTCTGTGCAGGGAGAAGGGAGAACCTGTGGGCAGGCGTAGGGGTGGGGGAGGGGGGAGATGGGGGAGGGTGGGAGAAGAAAGTTCCAGAATGTTAGAAGGCAAAAATGGCTCCTTGCCCTCTGCATTTGCCCTTGATCTCTCTTGACGTTCTGGGATGTTCCCTGTGTAGGGCAAGGAGTGTTGTCCTGTTCAGTGTGGGCACTGGCTCTGGGTCTTCACCTGGCAGGAACCTCACTAACACTTGAATGGGTTTGGGCTCCATATACTCCAGGCATTTGTTAAAGAGCTCCTGGGCCTGGAAAGAGCCTCCAGCCTGCTGCTTCCCTGAGGCCTCCAAGCTGGGTGACATTTGAGTGGGGCGGAAGGTCAGGGGACTTTTGTCCTGGTCTCAGGATTCCTTTTCTGCTCCATAGGGGCATCCTAGGGGTGGGGTGAGGGAGCAGAAGTGGTGGAGGCCTCTCATCTCCCTGCTCCCTCCCTAGCTGCCCGTCTGTGTCTTACTCTTTGGACCTACCAGCTACCAGTGTCATCATTACCTTCCACAATGAAGCCCGCTCCACCCTCCTGCGCACGGTGAAGAGGTAAGCACAGTCCCGGACCCGGTTCCTTGCGGTGCTGTCCCCAAGGCCTCAGGGGACCTGCTGAGGCTCTCATAGTGTGAAGACCTCTGAAGGATGGAAGGACACTGACACCGGGTGTTGAGGCCAGACAATGTGAAGACCAGTGGGCACTGGAAGGGCAAATCCTGTCCTGAGAAGCTGAGGCTGATGTACCAGGCTCAGGGAATCCCAGAGATCAAGGTCAAAATCCCAAAGCCCCTAGTGTTAATGAGATACAACAGTTGGATTAAAAATTAAATCCTTAAGATGAGGGCAGAAATGCGGGGATCAGGAGCAGAGGGAGGCAGTGGTGAACATGAGGTCTTAGGCAGGTGAATGCAAGCCCACTAGGTGCCTATCTAAATCAGAGTGGTGCCCTCTGGCCTTCTCTAGAACTTGGTCAAGTTTTAACCCCACTCACCCCATTTCCTCAATGCTTTTAAATAAGAATGAGATTCAGAAGGGTGTTCTCAGTGGCATCCCATAGACCCAAGCTTAGATTTATTCCCTTTCTCAAGGATGAGAAGAGGAGGAATGGTGGAAGGAGAGGAGCAGTGGGGTATTCTGAGAACAAGTCCCAGGACCCTGTAAAAGCCAAACAGTTGCTTCCAACTCATGGCAACATCATGGTAGAACTATGGCCTGTAGGGTTTTTAATGACCAGTGTTTTGGGACTACATCACCAGGCCTTTTGTCTGAAAGCCCTGTGCATGAACTCAAACTTCTAACCTGAACTTCCCATTTGTATCACACAAGGACTCTGTCTGACCCATTGACCTTCAGGCCTTCCAGGCAAGCAAGCACTCCAGGTCCTTCTGGGGATTTCCCATGGGCAGGGCTCATTACGCCTCAGGCAGCTGGAACAACTGCTTCTCCTGCCCCTCTGCCCCTCAGCTAGGCACTCTGCTTCTAGGCTCCATCCCAGGTACCAGAAGGGCTGGGAAGAAGGATCAGCTTTGTTCCTGGAAGAGCCACCAATCAGGGACCTGATAGCACCTGCGCAGGGGAACATACTGACCCTGCACTGGATAGTGGGAGAGCCCCAGGGTGCAGGGGTCAATGAGGGGGAGGTGGTCCCCTGAGTCCTGGCTCCTGTCTGTTCCCACCACTACTCTAGCGTCCTGAATCGAACTCCTGCCAATTTGATCCAGGAGATCATTCTAGTGGATGACTTCAGCTCAGATCGTAAGTACCCGCCTTTCCTTTGCAATGTCCTCTTATACCCCATCCCACCAGCACATGAGGGAAGGCACTCCTGAGGTTGTCCTGGTCACACAGACTGACCATGAGCGTAGATCCTCCGTCTTTTCTAGTTTCCTCCCTTAGTCTTACTCCTTGGTGCCAAAGGACAGGAGAAAGGCGATGTTGCTCTAAATGAGGCACCAGTGAGATAACAATTTAAAAAAAAAAAAAAAGGAAACGACATATCTATAGCATCCATCATGATCGCCACTGCTACACACAGAAGATTGTGGGACAACCTCGCTCTGCAGGAGCTGGGCGGGCAGCGGAGTTGATCAGGCTCTCTGGCGCCCCCTGCAGGATAATTCCATAGACACAGGTGTTCCTCAGTGGTTGGGCCTGGGAATGTGGGGCGAGTAGCCCCTCTGTGCCTGCTGTAGGGCAGCTCCTGGGCAATTCTAGTGACCCATATCGGAAAGATCTTATCTTCTTTCTCTCCAACTCCATCCTCAGCTGAAGACTGTCTACTCCTGACCAGGATCCCCAAGGTCAAGTGCCTGCGCAATGACAAACGGGAAGGTGAGTCCCTGGCTCCTGGGCCGCACCTGGGACCATCTTAGTCCAGTCCTTTGCATATACGTCCCCATTCCCTTACATCATACCAACTCCGCACCTCGCTGCTGCTGCCTCTCTGATGGGCTGAGAGCCAGTCCCTCCTGCTATCCGCCCCCTTCACAGCACAGCCCAGGCAAGTAGTTCTACTTCTCAGTGTCTCTCCTGAGAACTTGGAGATGTTTTTATGCCTTTTCTGCTGTGCAAGGCTATTATGAAGACTGGATTGGACAGGCTTTAGGGAGGTTCTCTGAGAAATTTGGAGCGCAGTATGATGCAGATGGAACCACACTTTCAATCAACAAACACTTCAAAGCGTCACCTAGGGCAAAGTCTTGTGCATGGAACTGTAGGGGACACAGAAGGAAAAAGAGAATGGCCGCTGCCCTCAGAGAACTTCCTATGCAGCAGGGAGTGAGAATCCACCTGGCAAGCTGGTTATGGTTATGTGAGTAACATGGAGATAAACGGAGAGGAGCTGAAGGGGAGCAGGGATGCTCGAGGCTAGGATTTTGAAGTGCCACCTCACTTATTTTAGGCATGTGACCAGGAGAGATCTGTCCTTGGAGAAGGACACCATGCTTGGAAGCATGGATGGACAGTGCAAAAGAGGGAGACCCTGGATGGGATGGATTGATACAGTAACTGGGGCAATGAGAATTGATATGTTGGAGTTAGTGAGACAGGCTCAGGACAGGGCAGGGTTCAAAGCTGCTGTACAGAGGGTCGCTATACAGCGCAGCAAAGGCACATAACATCAGTAATATATTATGGCCGGTTTAGAAGCAGGAGTGGCATCCACTTCCTAAACAACATGCCTCTGGAAACTCTAAACTTTGATAAATGTCGATAGTTGTAGAGGGGCTTCAAGCCTTTTGTTCATAGGGTCGCTATGAGTCATGCTCGACTCAAAGGCAATCATCAACAACAACAACAACTGGGGTATTGGGCAGGTGAAGAGGAGCAGAGAAAGGCCTTCCAGGCTTGAGGACTCTGCATGTGAAAGGCTTGGCCAGAAAGGAGGCAACATAGGATACTAACTGCCCCTCTTGAGTGCCCAGCACACACCAGGCTTTCACTCTGCCTCCATTCCACACACACCACACCACAGCCCCCATCCTCACAACAGCCTGTCTTCCCTGTTTTGCATGTGAGAAGACTCAGGGTTAGAGAGGAATCCTAACTCTGTCCACCCACTCCAAAGCTCAGCCTCTTGCTCTACTTAGAGATGCCAGGCTGGTTACCTGGGAGAGTGGGTGGAATGAATTAACTGGACAGAGGACTTTGAAAGCCTGAGGAAGTGTTTGGATTAAATAAAAGAATCACTGCAAGATTAAAGAAGAGATAAAGAGGTGATAGGTGTATTTAACAAGGACTGAGGGTCACAATAACATTGGTGAGGGAGCCCTTCAAGTTGAAATGCAAGTGGCTAAAGATCAATCCTTCCTGATATTGGGAGAGGGGCTGTGGGTTATAGTGGCCATTGGGATTGGGAATGTGCTGATTCTTGGGTTTTTGCTTGTTGTTGTTATGTGCCATCAAGTCGCTTGGGACTGACTCATAGCAACCCTATGTACAAGATCTCTAAATGCTGTTCTATCCTGTGCCAACCTAGCCATCTCAAATGCACTTTTTCCCACCGCTCCAGTCACAGAATCAATCCATCTCAAGGGTTTTGCCTAATTAAGAAAAAAACCTCACTGCTTAGAGCCAGAGCCAGCTCATAGGAGACCCTCCACAAGGACTCCCGAGGCTCTAAATCCCTTCTTTCTATGTCAGAGAGAGAGGCTGGTGGATCCAAGCCACCAAGACAGGCACAGTCCGAGTTAGCAGCACAGCGCTCTGTGGATGAGGCCTGTGTGGGCACTCCAGGAGTAACACTGAAATGATAAATGGATAGAAGGGTGAGGGAAATAGATGGAAGGATACAGAGAGGGGGGAAGCAGACAGGAGAACAAAGCAAAGTTCCTTCACAATAATGCAGAGGAAGCCTAGTATCTGAAGGGGTGCAGGGGGCCCTGGGGTTTTGAGGAATGGCTCGGAAGCAAGTCAACTCAGCTCTCCGTCAGCCTCAGCACCAATCCTGTCTACTCCCACCGCAGGGCTCATCCGGTCCCGTGTTCGCGGAGCAGATGTGGCCGTGGCCACCATCCTCACCTTTCTGGACAGCCACTGTGAGGTGAACACGGAGTGGCTGCAGCCCATGCTGCAGCGAGTGAAAGAGGTGAGTCTGTTGGTTCCAGGGGGAGGCGTGTGTCCTTTGGGATGCCCCCACTGGGCTTCTGGTATGTCAAACAAACCTTGGAGTCGAGCCGGCAAGGCTTGAAGCAAAACTCATTTGCTTTCCTTCTGAGTGATTTTGCTTTATTGAGTCTTTTCTGTTTGGAAATGAGGATAATTGTCATATTTGACTCACTGGTTGTTGTGAGAATTAAACGGATGAAAGCTCGGGTGAGCTGTAACGCTCCCACAATGAATGGGTAGTGGTTTTCTCCTGGGGAAGTGGGAATCCTCAGCTGGTGAGCTTTGGGTCAGGCTGCGAAACCCAAGGAAGGATAAGAAGATGGGGCTTTCAAAGAGCAGAGAGAGCAGAGAGCCCCTCCTGTGTGCCTGCATCCTCTGGAATCTGGAGGGCTGGGACAAGTGACAAGTACTCACTCTTACTCACTCATTACTGTTGAGTCAGAGAATGAGGCAATTACAGCTCAACAATAACAAGACAAATAACTCAGTTTAAAAATGGGCAAAGGATATGAACAGACACTTCTCCAAGGAAGACAGACAAGCGGTCAATTAGCACATGAAGAGATGTCAACATCTTTAGCCAGTAGGGAAATGCAAATCAAAGCCACAATGAGATACCACTTCTCTGTCCCTCTCACTCGGTGCCCTTGAGTCAGAACCAACACAGAGCTAACCCTCAGTGGATGCCTATAATCAAAAGGTGGACAGCACATTTCAGACAGATTGAAACAGCAGCGATATATCATTTATATCTCTTCATTGTTAGAGATATATAATGTACTACACATGCATAAAATAAAGACAATAATAAGTGTTGACAAGGATGTGGGTAGGAATACAAAATGATGCAGCCACGAGAGAACTAAGACGAGTTTCATCAACCTCATGTTTGTCCCAATGGAGAGTTCATAAGAGAATAATTCCATGGAGCAGGAAGAGGAAGAATATGTGATTCTCAAATTTGAACCTGTATTGGAAAATGAAGAACTGGCAGAAGCAGCTAATCAACCAAACATACAACTTTCCCTGGAAACCCCTAACGAGGTGACTGGACAAAAAAAAAAAAAAAAAAAAAAAAAGTAGAGAAAGCTTCCTGTTCACAAAGTAAAGATGGCTCCAGACCACGGGTGAAGGTTGACATTCCTCCATTACCTAAAAGGTTGCCACCAATTAACAATCTTCACTGAGACACTAAGGTGGAAAATTATCATCAACTTCTTCAAAAGGATACGTGCACAAAGGAGATGGTGCAAATACATGACTACAAAGAAAACCCAAAGTGGGCAAGGAGAAGAAGTCTAAGGAGAGGAACATGTCCTCTGAGGAGAGTGGTCCTCCTAAACTGGCTCCTCCCCCTGAGATAGAGACCTCCATCCTGGACGGTAGTCAGATAAGTGTGGGTCCCTGACAAAGTGGACAATGCGATTGCTGTCTTCTTGACACCAGCCCTTGTTTGCGCACCTCCACACATGGAAGACAATTTGCGGTGCCCCATTTGTGTTCAGAGAAAAGCCACCAATGCTCATGAGATTCAAATACCAGGGGAAAGAGCATTTTCCTGATGGCAATCTGCAGGTGAAAGTTGCTTAACTCCCTCCTATCGCTGACCACCAGGCTTTGTCCTTCTTGTGCTGAGTTTTCCTCTTCACAGTGCTAACTTCACAGTCTGATTTTTTTTTCCATTACAAATTTAGTCATTTCAAACTGTTGACTGCATAAGGCAAAGGCAAAGTAGTGAATACTTCCACATTACCCTCCTCCAAAATATACATATATGATTCTTTTTTAT